CCAAACCTGATATACATTATATATCTAATTTTAAAGGAACGAAACGCGTCAGCTTTCTTGACATCTCGAACGAGCAGACGGGTGTTTGGCGATGCTCAAAGACACCTACGACTCAACAGACACAAGTGCGGAGCCACGAAAAATAGTGGCAGGGAGGAGGCGCGTCTGTGAGGCCGTGGTTTCACTCGGGTCGAGCTGGCCTGCCGCAGTATCACTCTTCAACAATGAAATTGAGATCTCGAAGGTAGAGATATGATGGACGATCGATATTGTCTCCCCGAATATAATATATTACTACCAAAGTAATTCTTCCGTTTTCTACAATTCTTGATCAATCGAAATAACGTTAAAGTTTATTTTTATAAAATCTAATTTTTGCATTAAGTTTGGCTGACATTAATGAAATGTACATTTAATTAGTCCTGGTATCCATTAAGAATAGTAGGTAATTTTAAATAAACACATTTATAACAAGCTACAAGGTAACAAAGAATTTCAGAATGATTGATTAATTGATCAGTCACTTACTCTTATGGGGACATTATCAGTTAAAATTATAACTAATACTTACAATATATAATATGTTAGATTTCAATATGAAATATTTTTCAAAAGAATATACTGTTTAAGAAATTAAAGACATTTAAAAATTATATAAAAATTGTTAGGATCTTTGTTAATACGTTTACAATTTCAATATTCTTATAAAATTAGTTGTGTTGTAATTAGTTGTCTTGTAGCTTTTCATTGGTGAAAGAATTTTAAAAGTGGTTTAGTGGTTTAGGCGTGAAATCGTAACAAACAAACAGACTCACTTTCACATTTATAATATAATGAGAATGGATTCAAAATATGTATACATAACTGTTTTAAATGTAACAATATTGCTAACCAATATTTTTTTTCTTATATGAAAAATAGATTACATTACATGAAAATAAAAGGATTTTATGTACAAAACAAGCGATCTGAAAGCTTTATTGTAATATTTCTATTTGAAGATATAATAGGTATAGTAAGATAGCAATATAGACATAAAATACTAGGCAATCCCTATTATAATTTAACACAGAAAATATTTGTACAACGCCGTATTGTTTTTTGTAAAGGCCAACGACACTTGTTCGAAAAGCTTTCCTAATGTCATACTAAAATTAAAAGTAAAAAAGTTTCGCTTGTTCGGCATCCATAAAAACAGATCATGCGATTGATTTGGAAGTTTTTATATCGCAGACGTGTTCATTTTTACTTTATATATTTGGATATAGTAAAAAATACAATCGCTAAACTTTTGTCACTAGCCTACTTAAATTAACGAAGGTTTATTTTAACAAAGCATTTAATATTTTTGCTGTCTTATGTTTTGGTATATTTTATTTTTTTGGTTGTATGTAGGCATAGGAAAGTACATTAAAATTTAATCATAATTACATATGTGCCAGTTTTATAAGGAATTGACAGATCGAGGCAGTATTTCACTCCGCCCCACCGCCTTCAGATTTATAAGCCGCAAGTCCAGGGGCATATGGAATACTGTTCTCATCTCTATGCAGGGGCACCTCAGTACCAGCTTCTCCCTCTGGACTGCATCCAAAGAAGAGCGACTCGTATCGTCGATAGCAGAAACATCTCCGATCGGCTCGATCCTTTGGCGTTACGTAGAGATGTGGCTTCACTCTGCATTCTCTATCTCATATGTCATGGAGAGTGCTCCGAGGAATTTTTCGGACTAATAAGTGTTCCACACTGCAAAATTTTCATCCTCATCACCTGGATAGTTCGCGCTCCACTACTGTGAGCTTTTCGCGACACTTTTTGTCCCGCACAACCAATCCGTGGAACGAATCTGCGGTATTGCCGGACCGATACGACCCTCAAACCTTCAAGAAAAGAGCGAAGATACTCCTGAGGTGCAGACGTTTATGGGCGGCGATGGTCACTTTTCACCAGGTGATCCGTCTGCTCATCTGCCCCCTCTAACATGAAAAAAAGAATATGTTACATTGGCATATCTCACTTAAAGTATAGAGAGAGAGTTTTCGCGAAATTCATTCTTTACCAAACATCTCTATTACATGTTTAGTTAGTTTAGTGTATTTATGTTCATTAAAAGACAATTGGTAGACTCAGTATAAAACTATTTCGAGTTGAACGATTTAATTATTACTTTACTCTGCATCTTTGTGCATTTAAATGTCATACATCATTCTCGTACAAAAGAACCGCAGTTCGCAATATACCGATTATTAACAGATATACATGGTTACCATAGTACAGGCTCTGCCTAGTTTGGGATCAGACGGCCGTGTGTGAAATGTGTGAAAATTATTATTGTTATTATTAGGGATATTTGCTTGAAAATTAACCATTATGTGAACACTTGTGTCAGGTGCCTCTTGTGATTGTAATATTAGATTCATGACTGCATAGGATTTTTGTTTAGGTTGGATAAATATTACGCCTTAGACTTTTTAAGACGTAAACATGAATCAAAGTTTGTAAATGTAGTGTGGGTTTGGGGATGTAGATTCACACAGATGGGATTTTTTTTCTTGCATCTCAATATACAACTTTTTTAGAAGCGCACTACCACTAGGCCAAGTCTTCAGCGAGCACTTACTCACTTTGTTTCCTGATTTTACAATCTTCATTCCGTTAAAATTCATTCATTATGTAAAACACCTCATTGAAAAATAATTTTACGTACTATTTTTTTAACAATTTACAAACCTCTTTCTGTAAAAACGAAAGAAGCTTTTTACCTAGGTAAAAAGCTTAATTGTAGTTTCAATGAATAAATTAATCTGCCTATTGCAGTCCGTTGCTGGACATAAATGGTACCCAGTTTTTATCTGCCACGTCCAGTAAGAGTCTGGACTACTCTGCTAGTACTACTACAGTTTAAAAGTTTGTTTCTTAGGTAAGTGCATCAAGTGAAATACTAAAGATTAATTTTAATCTAAAATTTTAACCAATTAAGGTTGCGTCCGTGTGAATACGGAGTATCACCATCCCTATTCATCCTGTGAGTATCGTAAGAGCCGACTAACAGAGCAAACTAAACAGGACAAAGAGAAAGAAAACTTGACACAAACCCTGTACCAACTAGTCTGGCCAGCGGAATATAGTAGGCCAAAACCTCCTTTCTAAGAAGAGGATTGAAGGTTTGAAATGTAGTTGTTAAAATATTTGGGTGTTTCACAAATTTATTTAAAAATTCTACAATCAATGACGTTACTTTTTAAAAATATATCTACTTTATAGATATTTTGGTATGTATTAGAAAGACAATATGTAGTTATTTTACACTCCGCTAAATGATGAAGAAAAACATGCAAGGTTAACTTCTTTCAATTAAACTAAAATTTTATAACACCTGTGACTTTAATACATACTCAGATATTTGTTAATCCTCAATACCACTTAACTTGATTAAAGGTGCTTGAATTTCTTATTTGAAAGCATCCCTATCGTCAAAAGTTTAATAAAATTAGGAAAGCATTGTCTCCTAAGCTGTAAATATTTTATGCGTCTAAATTATAAATCTACTTTTATTCGCAGTCGACAAGTTATTATTGAGATTTATCTCGTAACTAAATGAAATTAATCTAATCTAGTAAGTACCCTTATCACTTATATATTAGTTAATTCTTAGCATTCTATAAAATATCTTCGCCTTCAGCCAATTTCTTTCGAAATACTTTCACGTAAACAATCTTGTACGATGAGAGTTTGAACTGCGATGCGTTGCAGTCCATTAACTTCCAGACTTCCAAATTGATATATGACAGTAATATGCTATCATTGGATTAGTAAGTTTGCCGTTAGAGTTAGAAATATTTTCGCTTTAGCTGGCCCAGACATATCGATGTTAACTTTGCCAATTCATCACATGAATTCGTTCAACTTGGTTTAATAGCTAAATGTAAGATCTAAGCCAGGGTCGCCGTTTATGGCCAAAGTTTTGATGTTTGTAGGAGCAGACAATGCTACCCTTAAGAACACTCAACCTCAAATAAGTTAAAACAGTGTAGTCGTGTATGACGTTAATTGTTTACGTGACAACCTTAAGTATGTAATGAAAATTATTTATCCGCATACAAATTGAGGAATATTTAGTAAGTCTAGTTTAATGTGTAAATTAATTTATACCTGTCTGCAGAACTTGGTTATTACTCGTAAGTACAAATTAACTATTCATTGATTCATGATAAACATTATATCTGTAGCAAAATAAAAATACAATGAAAGCGTTTATACTAAACGCAAAATTATAGTTAAGAGGGAAGGCAGTTGCAGTAAGGTCTAGAAAAAAAGATTCTAGACTAGGCAATACAGTTGCAGTAAGGTCTAGAAAAAAAGATTCTAGATTAGGCAATGCATTAACACCCCGTAACATTCATTTCAGTTTATATTATATATGTACTTAATTACTTTATTTCAATCATTTATAAGAACAAAAGCGATTTTCGATTTTTTAACTAAATAAAAATAACTAGGTTTAGCTAAATTTAATATAACATGGCAAGTTAAAAAATTAATGTTAAAAAGTTAGTTTTACCTTAGTTACTAGTTTAATAGCAGACGTCATTAATAGATTAAGCCAGGGAATTACTTAGCAACAAAGAGCACAAACATAAAATAAAACCTAACGCCAATCTAACCTAAAATGAGAAGAACATTAAAAACCTTTTATTATCTATATTTCACTCACTGAGCAGTGAGTTTACGTTGACCTTTATGGATATGCAATAAATGCTGAGCTAGACAGACTTATAAAAAAAAGTGTCAAATAACATGACGGTAAAATGGATAAAATTAAACTCCACCTATTTAGATGGTGGGTATTTAATAAAAAATGTGATGTACATATCAATAAACGTAAATATTAATTCACTTTAATATCGATTTAACTAAACATAACAGTAACGAGGCTTTTAGGAAAACGCAAATAAAATACATCAAAAAATTCTTGTATTTTGGTTACAACATACGTAGCTCTAATAAGGGCGCTTACAGTCACGGCTGAACCAGGATACGATGTCACCAAAAATATAGTCGTCTGGCACTACTGACGCATCACCAAACGGATCAGAATATGTTGTTCCCTCATCACCAGAAAGACCGCCGCTAGATGGATAAGCATGCGACTGAGTAGGATGTTTATAGTTTTGTTCATAAGTGATCTGCCCATCTTGCCCCCAAGTCAATCTTTGAATTTGTCCTTGCCACCTCACAACGACAGAAGGATAAGGATCTCCGCCTTGTAATGTCCTGAACTTGCATGGAAAGTTCAATGGTGCTCTGTCCTTTACATCACTAACTGGTAAAGGCTTGACATCTGTTTCACTAGTTGCAACTCTCCCTTCACTTAATTCAGAAATTATTAACACTAATATAGGTAATAAGAACTTCATGTTGTCAATTGAAACCGACACTAGAGAATGAGATACATTTGATGTGGCTTGTTAAATACCAAGCGACGTGAACTTGATTAGATTAAGGGGTTAAGAGTCAAGTCATTGTGTTTGTCTAAGATAATACTATCATTCGAGTCACCATTGTTGTGTGATAATTAGTAAGGAATAATAAGTATGTAGGTATTAGCTCTTAAATGTCCTTATCTTCTCTTTTATTATGCCATACATATAATTATAACATAGAGTCCAAAGGCGACAAGTACTTCTTCTGCTTTATATTTATTGATTATATTTCCACAATACTATTTCATTCGACTTGAATATTAAATAGGGCTATTTGCATAAAGCGTGACCCCACGACAAAGCCCAGATTTCTTTGTTCTGTGATTATTAGTATGTATAGCCTATTGTAGCAGTAGAACATTTTGAAATTCAAAACAGAGGTCAAAATCTAATTACTACTCGTAGTAATAGCAATGACATTTTTGTTTACAAATATTTTACGCACAAGTAATAACAATTCCGACAAACAGTAATACAGTTCAAAAGATGACTATCGGATTAGACAACCAGTTTTTTAATAGCCAGTGTTCTCTTTTGACAGACTTTTTAATTCGATATTGGAATTATTGAACATAAACTGCAAACAGATTTTAATTTTAATTCAATTTAAGTTCATAAATTTGGGCTGCATAAATCTCATCTACACTCGTGACACGTGAGGTATCTAAGGAAACTTTAGATCGTGACTAGCTACGGTTCAGCCCATAAAGCATCGCGGTTCCGTGGCAAAGTTCACCAAACCGAAAGATCAAAAGGAATCCTCTGAATGGTCGGGAAATAGTTTCAATTAGCCACGGTTTGTGCACGAGTAAAACGCAAGATTACTGACTCAAACGGTTGTGTTAGAAGTTATATTGCTTTGAAAACCAATGCTATGTGGATTACTTTATGGCAAGAGCGCTAATGGTTTGGATCCTGTGTAAAATCGTTCTGATTGTATTGTTTGAACATGTCATAACTATGAGAACTGCATTTGTAGTACTTTCTAGGAAGTAAAAGTACTGTAAGTAAAAAGCAACACTTACATAACTACTCTATTTAAAACTACTATTCATTTTATAATAATATATTTCACACATCTCACACACTAATCCCAAACTAGGCAGAGTCTGTGCTATGGTAACCAGACTTACTTATATATTTTTAAATATATAGATTTTATGGATAAATTACACCCAGATACAGAACAAATGATCGTGCTCATCACACAATATTTGTCCTGGGGGGAACCGAACCCATGACCGCTTAGCAGTCATAGTCACTGACCACTAAACCAACAAGCCCGTCATGTATATATTTTGTATATATTTATTGATTGTTTTATTTGATGTTTTATGATAGGAGAGACATGGCATCCAGCACATACGTTCGAACTGGAGTAATACCACGGCCATACAGAAAACTGACGTTCAGCAACGTGATAGAGATAGATAGGTACTCTTTATTGAACATCATAATTGCGTCCTTATCGCGGTCTGCGATCAACATGCGAGCAACATGATTATGGGGAAAATGATTCAACAGGCGATAAAGCACTTGTGTCTTGTGTCCATAGGCGATGATAGTTACTTACCATGAGGTAATCCCATAAAAAACTTACTATTTAGGCAGCAACTCCAAAATTTACTGTATCACTAAAAAAAGGATAAAAAGACCCACAATATAACCAAGAAATAAAAGCAATTGTCTGCTAGCCTGTGTCACATTATTTTAGTTTCATTCAAGTTCTTAAATTGGTGTGGCAGAGACCTATTCTAAATAATATTCTGGTATTAATAACAACGATGATTTAAATTCTTGACACGGTTACAGTAGAAGGATATTTATATTAAGTTACAAAGTACTTAAAACTATCATTGTCAAACATACTTTCTTTTTGTAATTGATGTGTAATAATAATATATTGGTTATCCAATTTTGGTTTTAATGGACAGTCTTAAGTCTCTTTCTATATCAAGAGCAAAAATCGGTTCCTTTCGTAACAAATAAACTAAGAAAATCGAAAGCGATAAATATTAAATTTTACTGTCACTTATATTCAGCAACTGCGGAAACTGCTTATACGTTTACGTTTTCCCTCAAACAACAAACAAATAAACCAGCAAGATGATATTTAGATAGGTATTGAATATGAAGGTATAATCAAATCTGCCATTGGAATGGGATTGAGCGGAGCAATACATCAGAACAAGACCCATAAGAGTCGAATAAAATTCGGAAAGGATATAATATTTGATCTTATTTTCATACATTCACCAGCTTTATTCGTCATTCATTTATCGGAAAACTTTTGCAAATAACGCTAAGGAAAACGTTTGATATTGTACGATTCACATTTTTCCTATTTGCTTACGATGTCCTTGATATTTAATTACTCGAATGTTCGATCTTGATTGAACTCTTGAATTGGTTTTGCCAGCTCTTCTGTGTATAACGAAAGGCAAAGTATCTCTTGTACTTCAAATTAGTACTTCATCACTCTCGAAAATTGTTTTCAACTTCGCGAAGTAAATTATTTCATCGAAAGAGGAAGTTTTCTACAATCTGTATAAATTGTAATTTCATTATTTTACTAACAAAAATCGATTTGGTTTGTCTTGCTTTTCTGAATATTCATTCTTCTATGTAGGTAATTATACGATTATAAATTAAAGAACATAACTTACATACATACGTCAACAAATACAGATTGGAAGTTTGGACACAAAATACAATGAAGAGGCTTTAAAGTTGTCGCAATAATATTTTTCTAATATCGCACTTAATCTATTGAATCTATTGCACCGTAGTCAAATCGAATAGCGCGGTTCTCTGACTTATTGATACACACTTCAATTTCTTTTCACGAATTCACTCCACCTGGTTTCAGAAAAGCAAGAGAAAATATCAAAAACTATTTTTTACGTGAGTCTTTAAAGGGTTTAGGGGTATTTTTTTTTTGTATAAGCTATGTTTTTATATACAACTGTCAAGAGGCTTCACCACCCTCTCAAGAAGCGTATCTTGATACACTTGTGCCATTTTGAAACCTTTTTCACAAAAATATGGCTCGGTCACTCCTTTACAGCTAACACCCCACTAAACGATCACTGAAGTTGGATAATGCCCATATTGTACTCTGATGACTAATTCGGAAGCTTCTATACAGCTTTAAGTATAAAATTGGTAATTCTGTTTGTTAAAATCTGACCTAAGAAGTAAAATAAAGTGAATTCATGATTTATTTCTTTTTTCTAGAGCTTTTACCAGAAAATCCATGGTATATTTTTAATATCATGGAATCTTTCGGGAAATAATCAGCCGAATTAGGCCGATATTTGCATTACGCTTATCCCTTTTTCATATCAAATCTTCCTCGGTCCTGTGGGTTGGAATGGGCGTGCGGATCCTTCTCGTTGCGTTTCTTTGCACATATGTAGGTATAATTAAATCTTAACTACAGTATGTATGCATTTAAAAATATAAATTTGCCAGGTTGATACCAATAATGTCCCCTGAAACATAAATGATATTAAAATTATACTCGGCTACATGAGGGCATTAAATTCGACTCGATGTTTGTTTGAATGTATGTATCACCTTATGAAGTATTGCGTGAATCGTAAGGTACTGTCTGTCAATTTCGATATAAATTTGTACAACAGTAGTATATGTTAGAACAAGCTAGTGGCTAGCAACAACAACATGTTAACTCGAAACCTAATTCCACAGTTTGTAACTAACCTGTTTCAATGTTGTTGAACTTTGTATTCTAAAGTAAATGTTAGGGCCAGCACACCGCAATCAGGGTGAGATAGGATTATTGTTCAAGCACACAAGAACATTGCAGTAGGTGCTAAAACAACCAAGGGACAATTAACGTGAATGACGACTACTTATCTTCATTTTACTAACTTTAATATAAAGGTAGGTGTAATTAAGTTATACTTCGATATTTTTATTTTCTCAAGATATACATATTAATACGACGTCTGTTTTTATTTAAAGACATCTGCCTCCTCCTTTAAAAGATATATCCTCCATCGCGGGGGAGTTTACAAATATTTATGAAACAGACACAAAGAACACCCAGACTCAGAACAACAATTTCTGGATAACACAAAGTGTTGTCATATGTGGCAATCGAACCCACAGCACTCAGCCCAGGAAGCAGCGACTTGACCACTTAAACTACTACGCCATCCATGCTGTGCCATCTGTGACATAACGAGACCGGACTGACCGTTCCAGACGTTACTTTTCCAATCTAAACCGTTTCAGTGTGATATCAAATAACGTGACCTACATCTCTTGAAAGATAAGGCCATAAAATACAAAAGATGAACAATCTTTGACTGTCAAACTTATTAGTCCTATTTGTGGAAATGGCAAAATTTCACATCTACATGTTAATGTTACCATGTACCTAATTAAAACATTTAGTAATGGATTGGATTTAAATATAGTCATTTCTGTAGCGATTTGTAGCATACTTGTATTAGTTCCTGTCCTAAAACAAATCACTCAGGCAATAATTGTAACTCAATAATTAGAACATACTGTAATAACGGTGGTCAATTCTAAAATAGTAAAATATCAAACACGTTCATTTGACCTTCCAAAGAACATTTCTGAAAATTTTTAATTAATATTATAAAACATGTCTATACTGATCATATCCTAAATAGCATATGATAATTTAATATTGCAGCAGGCGTGCCTACCAAATTTTGATTTTTGAAATCGCAGAAGCAGAAAGAGCTACAAATTTTCAGTAGACACAGGACTTACTATTTTGATTACAAACCTTTAATGACTTTATAGATGTTTTAATATTTCGTCAATTTTAAAGTATACATGTACAAAATACCACCAAGAATACAGACACAAATTATTGCACCGAAAATAGATAGACAATGACAATAACATAGAACATAGCAAGCGGTAAGGCCCACATTTATCTCACTAAACCATCTCTCAGAAACGAATTGCCCCAATTCACTAGATAAATGGAAATTCTTAATTGGACCAGTTAACTAATTGAACTAATTATGACGAGACATCGGTATAAATAATGGATAAGGCCATTTCAATTTCCTATGCCAGATCCAAGCCAAGAGTTTTCAGTAATTATCTGTGTATTCGCGATAATAAGGAATTGGTTTCATATTCCTTGAATGTAGGTAATAGTTTTTTTTTTTTATTATGTTTTTGATTAATTTGACATATTTTAAGGCTATACCTATATATAAGGGAATTGTGTTACCCATTTGTTACCATACCATACCTATAAAAGTGACTAACTGTGTTTGTTTGTTACACTTTAACACCACACTTTACACTTTTTAAACATTTCCCTAAATGGTGATATTGGAGATTATTATTGATTAAAATTAAATCGATTATTAATTTCTAGCCAAATTATTACAACCGTTATCTTCCTAGTATGAGCAACTTCGTCCGGCGACTGTCCGGTATCCGGCCAAGCGGTGCCAATTTCCGGATAGCAGCGCGGTCTGATGATTTCGGGCTCTCCGATCCGATTTACTTAGCATTATATTATTAATTGTTGTACTTATTTGTATTGGAGTATATTGAAACGAATATTAATTTTCAATTTAAAAAAATCAACATACGTGCTCATCCATACTTTTATTATGATCTGCAAATATGTGCTTCAAGTTTACAAGTATTCTATCAGTCAATCTAGTTTTCATAGTATAAGCTCTGGTTAGTAGATTTTTATTTTTAATAACTAAAATTTTATTTTTTATAACTAGACTTACTGTCAGATTTCCGAAATATTATTATTATAGTTATTTTATAAATGTGAAAGTAAGTATGTTTAAACCACTAGACCGGTTTTAAAAATTCTTTCACCAACGGAAAGCTACATTATAAAGCTACGTAGGCTTGTTTTTACCCCGATAACCTCGATGATGCGTGTTTGTCCGTTGTCCGTTTACCTTGCACCGATTTACTTTTTTACAGTCCCAAGGAAATGAAAATAATAATAATAATCTTCTACCACATTTACACAACGCCATCTAGTCCCAAACTAAACAGAGCTTGTACTATGGCTACTAGACAACTGATATAAATACATATATACTTTTTTTTTGCAAATACATACATATTGTGAATAGAAACACCCAGACTAAATCAAACATTAAATGTTCATGCACACAAATGTTTGACTTAAGCGGGAATCGAATCGACCTTTGGAATAGCAGTCCTGTGCACAAAGCACTACGCCATCCGGTCGTCAAGTAACCAGCAAACTTCCCTTTTCAATATAACACATTGCGCTGACCACAAATAAATTTGAAAGAATCGCAGGAAAATGATGATAATGATGATTATTTTCGAAATAAATCCCAACTTCTGGTGTTGTGAATTGTAAAAACAAAATCTAATCAACTGATTACGTAACTTATTAATTCTTGTTTCGTATTTTAGATCTTAATCAGAAGCTCTCATTTGGCAGTAGTTTTGAGAGAAAACATGACCTCGAACTTCACTCACCCTCTGGAGAAAACTAAAGGCAAAGAAGCGAAACTACTTTCGTTTGAAACACCAAACAATGGAAGAAATCGGAAAAGTTTGTCAATAGATACCGATTGTGACGACTTTTATGTACTTCTGTAATGAATCAGATAATAATGAAAGAAGGTTCCGATTTTTAGATGGACTCTTTTTGTTGCTCTTGTCGACAATGCTTAGGAATTAATCAAGAGTGTAATAATACTGTTTTACTCATGTAATTGCAAACATGATTATGAAAAAAAAATTAGCAGTTTTTTTGATATATTTGTCATCAATCATCATCAATAGCCTTTAATAGACCATATCATAAGGACATAAGCCTTTTTTTTAAAGGAGGTTTGGCCTCTAAACCACGCTGGTCAGACGGGTTGGTATAGGGTTTGTGTCAACCCACCGGTGGCAACGGCCTCAAAAAAGAGGCCGCGGAAGCTGCAGCCGCCCAAAACCGCGGCTGTAGTCGTGACGCTGTCGCCGGAGGCGGCCAGTGGCGGGCTCACGTATGCGGCCCTCTTCAAGGGGGCCCGGCCCGGTCTCGCCACTGAGTTCGGGGAGGCGGGGATGAGGCTGCGCCGCGCCCAGACGGGAGCTCGGGTTTTCGAGTTCCCTGGGGCTGAAGGCGCGGCGACGGCCGACAAATTCGCCGAGAAGTTGCGGGGAATTTTCGCCGCCACGGACGGTGTTAAGATCGCCAGGCCCACCAAATGCGCGGAACTGCGTATCTCGGGCCTGGACGACTCTATAACGTCGGAGGATGTCCGCGATGCAGTCATGGAGAAGACTGGGTGCACCGCGGACACCATCAGAGTCGGCACCGTCCGTCCGGGTCCGGGAGGCCTCGGTGCGGTGTGGGTCAGCTGTCCCGTGGCGTCGGCCAAAGCGTTGGGCGACGCCGGAAGCATGCTCGTCGGCTTCGTTAATGCCAGAATCACGGTTCTGGCCGCGAGGCCGATGAGGTGCTTCAAGTGCCTAGCCGCGGGACACACTCGCACCAGGTGCGAGAGCTGTTTTGACTGCAGCGGTCTATGCTTCCGCTGCGGTCAACCCGGGCACAAGGCGGCAGAGTGCTCTGCCGCCTCTCACTGCCCCGTGTGTGCGGCGGCTAAAAAGCCTGCCAATCACCAGATGGGGCAGGGGGGCTGCAAGCCTCCCCGCGCTTCTCGGCAAACGCCGGGGGCTAGCCTGCCGACCCAGGCTACCTCCGACGTCAATCTTGCGTCGACGCCGACGCCCATGGAGGAGGTTGTAGAGACGATCCAGTAATGGATCAAGTCTCCAACCTCCTGGTCCAGACGAATCTGAACCACTGTGCTGCGGCGCAGGATCTCTTCCTGCAAACCATGGCACAGTGGTCTATAGGTGTTGCCGTAGTCGCGGAGCCCTATTTTGTCCCTCCCCGTCCAAACTGGATGGGTGATCGGGACGGCTCCGTGGCAGTCGTCGGCTCCACGGCGGCTCATTCCCCGCCCTTGTCGCTAAGAGACAAGGGTACTGGATATGTTGCCGCCGATTGGGGGGGAATCACCATTTATGGTGTATATTTCTCCCCCAACCGGAGTTTGAACGACTTCGAGGTCTTCCTTAACAACTTGGAGGCCTCGATGCGGCGACTAGTGTCTGGGCACGTCCTCGTGCTGGGGGACTTCAACGCAAAGTCCATTGCGTGGGGTTCCCCTGCGACGGACGCCAGGGGCGAAGCCGTTGAGGAGTGGGCGGCGTCGGTGGGCCTCTGTTTGCTGAACAGAGGCTCCACCAACACGTGCGTGCGACAGCAGGGGGGGTCGATAGTGGACCTTTCGTTCGCTACCCCTGCAGTCGCCGCACGAGTAAGGAACTGGTGTGTCCTGGAAGAGGTCGAGACGCTCTCGGATCATTTGTACATCCGATTCGAGCTCTCCCGGTCCCAGGACCCCAGTAGGGGTCACGCGGCGCGGCGCCCTTCCCGCTTTCCGCGGTGGGCTATCGCCAAGCTCGACAGGGACCTACTAGAGGAGGCGGCCATTATTCACTCTTGGCTGTCTCCGCAGGCCCCGACCGAGGAGGTCGACATGGGGGCTGGTCGCTTCTGCGATGCAATTACGCAGATTTGCGATGCGGCCATGCCCCGCGTTCGTGGTTGTCGGCCTCCAAGGAAGGAGGTCTACTGGTGGTCCCAGGAGTTGGCGGACCTCCGTGCGGCCTGTGTACGTGCCCGGAGGTCCCTCACCCGTAGTCGGCGACGTCACCGCGGGGTCGGTGAGGAGGTGGACCGGTTTCATGAGGATTACCGAGAAGCTCGGAAAACTCTGAGGCTGGCCATCTGCCGCGCCAAGGATGTCAGTAGAGAGGAGATGCTGGAGAGTCTCGAGCGTGACCCCTGGGGTCGCCCTTATCGTGCGGTGCGTCAAAAGCTCCGCACGTCGGGCCCCCCCCTTACGGAGACTCTCCAGCCCAGCTTCCTGCAGGAAGTGGTCGAGGGCCTATTCCCGCAGCGGGCGGAGCACACACCCCCGTCGATGGCTGCATCAGCCGGAGACGACGGGGGCAGCGAGGCTGATGTTCCGCCCGTCAGGGAATCGGAGTTGGGGGCGGCTGTTCTACGGATTAGATCCAAGAACACTGCCCCCGGGCCGGACGGGGTTCCAGCCCGAGTGATGGCCCGAGCCCTCGACTACATGTCGGACCACCTCAGGGGGGTGTTGGACGCTAGCCTGACGTCCGGACGCTTCCCTGAGCGCTGGAAATGCGGGAAGCTGGTCCTGCTGCAGAAGCCGGGATGGCCTGCCGAATCGGTCGCGGCCTATAGGCCTATCGTGTTGCTGGACGAGGCGGGTAAACTTTTTGAGAGGGTGCTTTCTGCCCGCATCGTCCGGCACCTTTGCGAGGTTGGCCCCGATCTGTCGGACGCCCAATTCGGTTTCCGAGCGGGGCGTTCGACGATCGATGCCGTAATGCGCCTTAGGGCCGTGACCGAGGAGGCCGTGAGCTGCGGCGGAGTGGTGTTGGCGGTGTCCTTGGACATCGCCAACGCCTTCAATAGTCTGCCATTCAGCTGCATCAGGGAAGCGCTCCGCTACCACGGAGTGCCGGAGTACCTGAGGCGGCTGGTGGCAGACTACCTTGAGGAGCGAACCGTCATGTACGAGGACCGAGATGGCGTCTTGAGACGCAGGGCCATGTCGTGCGGTGTTCCGCAGGGGTCTGTCCTAGGACCACTCCTGTGGAACATTGGATACGACTGGGCCCTACGAGGGCGTCTCCCCCCCGGGCTGGGTGTACTCTGCTACGCAGATGACACTTTAGTCACGGCCCGGGGGGCTAACTTCCAGGAGGCGGCGCGCCTGGCCGCCACGGGAGTTTCCCAGGTGGTCGGGCGCATTGAGGCGTTGGGATTACGGGTGGCCCTGGATAAGACGGAGGCCCTATTATTTCATGGGCCCCGTCGTGGTCCACCCGCCGGCGCCTCAATCGAGGTCGGCTCGGTCCTCGTACCGGTCCGGGCCCAGATGAGGTACCTGGGTCTGGTCCTAGACGGTAGGTGGCTCTTCGACGAGCACTTCCGACAGCTTGGTCCGAAGCTGGTGGACACTGCCTCCGCCCTAGGGCGACTTTTGCCCAATTTGGGAGGGGCCAGTGTTCCCACGAGGCGGCTGTACGCGGGGGTTGTCCGGTCCATGGCGCTTTATGGTGCACCGGTGTGGGTGGCGGCTCTGACCGCCCCGAATAGGGCGCGCCTCTGGCGCCCCCAGAGGATATTGGCGGTCAGAGCCATACGCGGATACCGCACGGTGTCCACCGAGGCGGCTTGCGCCTTGGCCGGTACACCCCCGTGGGATTTGGAGGCGGAGGTGCTCGCCGAAGTTTATCGGCGAGTGGCTGACTTCTGGGCGGAGAGCGGATTTCGCCCTCCGCCCGAAGACGTGCGCGAGTGGCGCGAAGCCGCTCGCCGAGCCACCATGGTTAGATGGTCGTTCCGGCTGGAGACTCCACGCGCTGGCTTCGCCGCCGTGGAGGCTCTCCAGCCGGTCATAGCCGAGTGGGCAGGGCGGCAGCACGGGGCCCTTTCCTTCCGGCTGACGCAGGTGCTTTCCGGGCACGGTTGCTTCGGAAAGTACCTGCACTCGGTCGCTAGGAGGGAACTGAGTCCCGCCTGCCACCACTGCGACTGCAGTGAGGACTCGGCCCAGCACACGCTGGCGGTCTGCCCCGCATGGGCGACGCAGCGCCGGGCCCTCACTGCAGTCATCGGAGCAGATCTCTCGCTACCGGCCGTAATTCGCTCCATGGCCGGTAGCGACAGTTGTTTTACCGCGGTCGCAACCTTCTGCGAGGAGGTAATCTCGCAGAAGGAGGCGGCGGAGAAGGCCCGGGAGGACGACCTCCACTCGGACCTGATCCGCCGCCGGCGAACCGGGCGGCGGAGGCGCGCTTACCTGCGCCTCATGCCGCCCTGAGTGTGGCCGCGGGTGGACGGGGTGGGTTTCCCCTCCACCCGCATTAGTTGGCCAGCCGCGAGGGGGCGGCGTCCGCGTGTGCCGGACGTCGCCTAAAGAGAGGATAATTGAAGACGGAGCCCGCACCAGGAGCGGGCCGGCGCTGGGAGGGGTCCAGAAGGCGATAACTACCTGGACCCCTCCTAAACTGGAAGCGCAAAGAGGGCACACCGTGTGGTTTTAGTCGGTTCGAGTCCGACACACCACCCCGCCGCAAACCCCGGTGGGGTGACGGTCCGAGGGGATTTCCACACGTTAAAAAAAAAAAAAAAAAAAAAAAAAGGGTTTGTGTCAACCGGATGTCTTAATAACAGTAGTTCCTCCTATTACAGGCGCAGAGTGGCACACGGAGTGGTTTTAGTGGGTTACACCACCCCGCCGCAAATCCCGTGGGTTTCCACTCGCAAAAAAAAAAGGGTTTGTGTCAAGTTTTTCTTCTGCAGTACTATTACCCTGCGTAGTTTGCTCCCTAAATCGGCTCTCACGATACCCACAGGTGAATAGGGGTTGTAACACTTCGTTTTCACTCTGATATATTTCTATCATAAATTAGTTTACGGGTTGTTTTTTTTTAGTTCAAAAGGAGGTACATCAGGTACGTTTTAATTACATACGACGTGTAATATTTCATCATAAATCAGCTTAAGAAATTTCAAGGGTTTCCTTACATTAAATCAAGCTAAAATTAATTGACTAATTAATAGATTAATTCAACTTACATTAATATACCACAATTTCAAATCGCTCTGTAATCAAGAAAGGAAACATTCAAACTAAATTGGAATAGTTAGCTGAAGCTGTACTAGGGGTAAGTAATTTACTAACTGAAGGAGTTAACCATGTTAATGAAAATTGCTTCCGATAAGATCTGATGCCTTGAGTTATTGAATATGAAGTCTATGATGTAAGAGACAGAAGGGACAAGAAGGAGGAATATGAGGAAGATTATGAGGAATATTTGGAAGATGAAATTAAATTTCATAGAGCACGTCAAGTCGGGTACTGTGTATTATAATGCGGTCTTAATATCTTTGGGTTTCCAGTTTTGTATTGTTCTTAATGATGTTGATAGCATGTAAACGTTTTGTTATTATAATAAGCAGCTTTTATTTATTATACTTACCAAAAATGTTTATAAAAGATGAAAACTTAACTATTTTATTTAAAGAAAATAGAAGTTATTTTTACACATTGTAAACTTCATATTGTCGTATGGGGACTAAACTCAATCTGAGTGAACACACAGACTCTAATAACATTTTAATATAATTTAAATAATAATTTTTATTAAAACTAGTTGTATTTGCCGCCAACCGACGGCAATGACGATCTTTGAAATACTTTGTTGGAGATTTAATAAAAACATGTGGAGTGATTTCACTCTCGAAAGACGTATAATGCATTACGTGTGTTTGTATTACCAGGATACAATTAAAAAGGAGATAAGTAAACTAATGTTTCTTACACATGCGAACTATCGGCTCCAAGGATGATCTCTTTAATGTCCCAGGAGTAATCACAAGTGGGCGAGTAATTTACTGACTATCTTTACGGAATTACTACTACACTCTATACTCAACAAGTTCTAACTGCAGAATTATTTCGCGATATGGATAATTAGATTTCCACTTGAAATGGGAGACCTTAATTACAATTTAAGTGCCAATTTGCGTTGGAACGTATTTTATTTGTTAAGGTTAAAGTTCGCACTAAATCTGGCAATGATATCCGATACCAAGTATCTACCTTACTAATAAGCTAATTTTAAAATTTCGTTAGGTTATCAGCTGTTATTATAATTCCTATTAAATGTGAAACGGCACAGAGACGTGGTCGTACATAATGGGCCTCATAAGAGAACTCAAAGTCACCCAAAAAGTAATGATGCTTAGAGTTTTTTTCGCGTGATCGAAACAGGAATAACAAGATTCACAGATGAACCCAGGTCACCTACATTGTTAAGAGAATTACCAAACTTAAGTGGCAGTGGGCGGGTCACATTGCTCGTAGAAACGATGTGGTCAAATGAATTCGAGTGGCGATCGTGTATGGGAAGACGGAGCCCCCTAAAAGTTGATCCGACGACCTGGTGAAGGTCGTGGGAAGCCGTTGAATACGTGCAGCGCAGGACCGGTTGACGTGGCGAACCTTGGGGAGGCCTATGTCTAGCAGTGGATGTTTCTCGGCTGATATGATGATGATAATTAAATGTGAAGGAGTTGGATACTTACGGGTTTCGTAGACGTTAAAGGATCTGGACTCGTACAATTTCTAGTGAAGGTATAGAGATAATGTGAAATTAATTTTGTACCTACCCTTTTGTACCCTTATTAAGAAGATTTAAGGAAAATTGATTGCCCTGGGTTTTTAAGTAAAGTAGCCTAATGTATGCCTGCTATATATCCCAGACATCGCATAACCCACTAACAACACTTTGTAGGTTGTTAATTGACTTTAGTGACCATACCGATGCTCACTTCGATGTCGATCTTGATCGACGCTTGAAAAAAAGAAAAAGCCGTGTGGTGTCGTGGGACACCCGATAGGAACGAAGTTGTAACGATCGAGTAAAACTGATTCGACACGATTTTAATTACAACGACATCTATGAAAGCGACTATTACCTACATATTTTTCAGTTGGTTTCTAATTAAAACATTACATCCATACAAACATTGGTAAAATCTCCTTGAGAAATGATTTCCTATCTATTCGATAGATGGCGCTGAATGACTGACAAGTGACAATTCAGAATAAAAAGTGTCGTTACAACTTTTCGTGAGATTTTTTCCGTCTAGCGAAAAGGAGAAAGTGTGAAAGTAGTGAAAGGGGTTTCACAACGCGCGATAAGGAACTTCGTTCCAATAAATAAAATATTTGTTACACATGAATTGTACAATATAAAGCTTAAAAATGATTTGTGCTCAAATTATGTCAGATACATTTTTATTATTAATGCTGTTGTTACAGCGCCTATGCACTTAGTGTGCGCAATAGTGCGTACGTCCCTCGGCATCGAGTTACTTTTTAGGGCGTTTACATTTACGTGCGTATGTTACTCGTACAAAGATGTCGATGTATTATATTTGTGAACTTCAATCTGTAAATAAAAAGTAGCGATATGGAAAAACTTGTAATGGCTGAACACATTACAAGTTTTTCCATATCGCTACTTTTTATTTCAATTCATTAGTCGGATTACAGTCTGTACAGTTGTAGTATAAACTCTCATATTCAGTTCAGGTATTTGCCAGTTTCATAATGTTATGATGTTGTGCAGGTTGTACGTGCATCCGCTTCACGTCGACGTATGGTAAAGAGCGCGGCATATTCAGCAGCCCCGACTACCCACGCCCCTACCCGTCACACATTGACTGCCTCCTCTACACATTTGTGGCGGCGCCGCACGAAATTGTCGAACTCGTGTTCACCGACTTTGAAATACACAAGGAACATGTCGAGTGAGTAATTTATGAACGTTTTTCTTGCAGAGTTGTTATTAGAATATATATATATATTGAAGCCCAAAATCGATCTAAGTGGCGTGCAATGAGGCCTATGTCCAGCAGTGGACTGCGATAGGCTGATGATGATGATGATATATGTGGTCTTGATGATTAGATCAGTAGCGTCTTCATACTTTTATCGGTGGTTGAAATGTATTTAAGTAAGTTGAATTTGCCACCCATTAGATCATCCACATATTACTCTTAACATCCTTGATTTGTATTTGTTTCATAACTGTTTTTGAGAAGGTATTACTTAATATTTATTTTCACAAACACAAAGATTAACAAAATTATGTCAAAGAAGTTAATAATCATGCCTCTAAACAATCGACGACCATCATAAAACATCACAATACACACGAAGTCTGCAAAGTTTAATTCAACATGACTTGAACTTCTCTGTTAAATGAGATGCTGTTTAAAATTTGGTTATTTCCACAAAATAACCAAGTTTAGGTACTTAGTGAATTATTAGCTCTGTGTTAAATCTGCTGCAAGTAGGTAACAAATGTAAATTCTGACGATACCCGATATCAATATAAATTATGTTCTGCTAACTTGACCATAATTGTGTAATTATAGTCAAGTTATGCAATAAATATTGCATATATATTTATTGACTAATTTTTAAAACAAATACTGTTACATTGGTACGAGTACTTGTTATTATATCTAACATAGCTAAAATAAAAGCTTGTGTGAGGCGTGTTTCCACAACAGTTGTGCAGATCCACCCAGTGCAGATTTTGTAGCCGCAATCACACGAATGTAATTCCGAGGCCCTAGCCCGTATGATACCCCATCAGCTTGATTGCATACACATTTATCAGCATACATATAAGTTTGTTAACGTTCGTTTTCATTAAAAAATAATTAAACAGTATCCAATTAGTAGAATCATCTTATTTGCTGCAGTAATAATTATGAAAATTATGACTTCATGGTCTGTGTGCGCCAGTTAACAAATTACAGGACATATCCTATTTAAATGTGTATATTATATATAATGCAAAAATGAGCTGTTATATTTAAACAAATATTCCCAAATGCTTTCATCGGAAGGAAGGGCATTTAATAATAAAACAAATTAAAAAACGCATTTATTAAACAACATTCAAATCTCAAGAGAAGTCATCAAATTTTAACAAACTTATTTTTTATTTACATTTAATTAATTTGGTTTGCTCGGCTTTTTCAAACCAGCTAGCTTCCTACAGAACTTAACGTAGTCGATCATGGTAGAACCGTCGTCTTGAACAATCATCGGCGCCTCATCTAAGGCATAGTCTGCTTCTTTCGCCGTAAATTTGTCACCGTAGGTCATCAGGTCGTGACGAATTCTGGAAATTGGTTAAATTAACTCTTTCGCTTTCTATTAAAAATATAGTGTAAACATTTATAAACGTCATCTATGCGTTCACGATTTCCTTATCCCAAAAAGATTCAAACAAAGTCCACATTCATAATATCCAATGCGTAGCAAAAGAAATAAATTATTGTACGGCAAAAAAGTCGTTATGAATGAAACGATATATCACAAAACCAAAGGAAAGGAAAACAGATGATTATAACAAAATAAAAGAACGCCGAAAACGAAGTTAATGATTAAGGAACAATATACACTGAGAATAAACGACTGAACAATCGCCTTGTAAGTAAGTTAAAATATAATTTACAATGATACATGATATGACTTGATTGCGTGAGTAATTTTGAAGTTTGCGACGCCTAGGGGTTTATAGGTGATTTGAATCTATAGTAAATATACAACTCCATATAAAATAGTTACGAAGCGAAAGTACTATTTAAAATTAGAAATAGACTTCGGTTACTTCTTAGATTATAAATATTTACATACTCATAATAACAATAAATGGTAAAATTTATTTTATTAAGCCATCTTTATTAACTCATACTTTCTGTGAAATCGTTTTTTCAACTAAAAAACTTAATACTATTCTTATATCTATACAAATAAATAAAATTGAAGTGTCTGCTTGTAATGTCAAAATAGTAGGTTTTTTCATGCTCACACGGTTATTTGCACTATACCTATGTCTAAAAACCAGTTTTTTTTGTCTGCCTTTCTGTCTCTTTGTTCCGGGTAATCTTTAACGGCTGGATCGATTTCGATTATGTCATTTCGAATGTTTTTCTTTTATGTACAATACGTCATATATAGACGGATTTCCTAAATTCTTTTTTTGTTCGAAAGAGGTTTATTCCAAAATGATCCCATTTAAATTTCATATAGATCTGATGATGAGTTATGAAGATAGACAACGAAACTTTTCAAAATATTACAGCACATCAACCGCTATTGCTGTTGGGTTTTTTAGTGTTCTTTGTTAGTATTGTTAGATGTCGGTTCAATTTTTTTTTAAAGAATTTCTCTCAGAAAAGCCCTACAAAATTTTGCCCGATACGAGAATCGAACCCGAGGCGTCACGTATCGTACTGCACCACTAAGGCAACGCAGGGCCGCCGCTAACTGTTCGGGCGCCCGCGTGCAATACCAATGAAGCCACCCTTTTTTCCGTGCGGAAATCGCCCTTCGAATATCCCCCACCGGACAGCCGGTGCGGTGGTTATTAATTTCATTTCCGATCACGGTATTTTTATCCTCATTTCAATGGGTTTAGAAATCATATTACTATTATTATTAACCAAACACACTGGACACTTTCGGGCAGCTTGAAAAAGCGTCATGACCATGTTCTGCCAATCGTATTGGTAGCACCCGGGCATTGGCTCTTTGCGGATCAGATACAGGGGACCTCCAAAGCATCCTTTACGTCAGCCAATATCAGATTGTCCCGTAATTCCTATCGAGCCAATCCTACATAACGCGTCTTACCGTCGCAATAACAGCATGGCGGAATTAAGCTGTCCCATAAAATTTTCACCCTGTATAGGATATTTGGGAACTATTATACATACTTACGTTTGATTCGAAGACTATAAACATTTGCATTTATTTTCGTACACTGATCAATAGATAAAAAAAACTATGATGAGATAAAAAAACATTAGACATGCAAATTATCAGGCAGCGCTTTTCAAACTCCATACGAACGAAGTCGCAGGCACCAGCTAGTATTACTAATAAAAAAGGCCTACCACATTTCAGTCGAAAAACCTGCCTTCTTTATACAAAGAAAGTATTCCTAATCAGTCAGAATAACATATATAAATAAAGCTACCACAATTTCTTTTCCGATTTTCAAAATAATCGTATACAAGTGAAGGTTTGCTTGTTTGATATTTATCTACGCTCATTGTTTATAAAAGTCTGACAAAAGAGATACAACAAAGATAGATTTGAATAATAGAAGACGAAAAAATAAATTATTTTTGCCAGAGATAAACAACTCTTTCAGACACGGAACAAAATATTATCTAAAGTATAAAAATAAGTAAAACTGTGTGTTTTCCATAAAAGGGGTATTTAATAAAGTAAAGTACTAGTATCAAATGTCAGAGTAACATGTTAAAGACGATAGTGTACCTAATTTTCATTAATTGGGATTCCATCTTTAACTTCTTGCAAACCAAACCTTTTAGTTTTTGGGATGGTTAATTTGCGACTGTAATTAATGAAAAAAAAAATGGATTTTAAAGTTAAATATATAATTTTGACTATATTATGCCCTGTGAAACAAACATACAAATAAGCAAACAAAAGAAAGCAAATTAAATATAACATATATTTTGAAAGTCTATATAAAGGTCACTTTTAGGCATCTAGTTAGAAAAAAAAGCTCAATTTTTTTAGTTAAAAAAAACTAAAATCATATTTAAGAAATTACATTTTTAACGTACAGAATCCTGCCTACGCACGCTCAACTTGCTCTTGGAGATATTTTTAAGTGGTTAGTTTATAAGAAATAAGTGATATAGTAGTCCAAAACCTTCAAGAGAGGCCTATGTAAAGCAGTGGAATCTGAAAGGCTGTTGATGATGATGATGTTATTGATTTGAAATTCTCACGAAGCAGAGCTATACGTTTAACATGAATAAGTTTGCTTTGTCTGAACTCTAAAAGAACCTCTTTTAAAAGGTTGACTTTGCAGAGGATCTCCTACTAGTAAGCACAAAGTAGGTACGTACGTATAATTTGTTATCAGCAAACTCGAACCAACATAAATAACAGCCCATTTTAAAACATTCATGATTGTTAAATCTACAGATTAATTAAGCACGCAAAAGCGAGAAAAAATAATATAAAAATATCATTTTCTACTTGCTTCGAAGATTAGATTCAAAATGATACATTATAGTGTGGCCTATAGTTAAATTCAGTAAGCCCATAGTAACCAAGTAAAATATTGCAGTACGTTTAAACGTGACTGAGCAATAAACCTTTTTCCAAGTCCCGAAGGTCACGGGAACGAAGCTGTGGGAAACAGCTAGTATGTAATAAATTTTGTTTTAGCGTTTCACATTATCTCCTTATTGATCACGAAATAAAAGGAAACTTTTGGTATAGGAACGTTTGAGGATTACGGGTTTTGATATTTTAGAAACAAAATAGGGCCATCTTACAAAAGTTAAATTTCAAGTTATTTTAACTTTGTGTCTTCATTTCGGTTTTATGATGTAGGGAGCATAATTGTAGACAGGTCATATGATGGATAGTGGCTACTGCTACCCTTGGACGCGTTACCGGCCTTTGAGATGAGAGGGAGGTGGGTACACCCAACAAACAAACTAACCTTATAACATTAAGTCTATAAGGTCTTAACTCTTATACTTGTTATAAAAGAGCATTTATTATGTCAATGTGCCTTATAGTGGCACATTATTAGAAGATTTGGCTAAATGTTCCTTATAGTGGCACATTATTAGAAGATTTGGCTAATATTACTTTTATCCTTATAATTTGGCTGGGTAAACGTTAATAAATCCAATTAATACGGCTACAATAAGGGTTCGAAATTTGTTCTTCTTATAGAGGCTAGTTACATTGCTTTTTAGGCTAGTTACATTCTAAGTCATATAAAGACTTTTAATATGGTCAATTATTCTTAGAAAAGTAATGCATAAGGTAACTATGATGCTCTCTAACTTTTAGGAGCATTTGATAAGACGTCTAAACAACAAACGAATTCTAGCATTTTATATGATCTTTACAAGGATGAAAGCAATCCGTATTCCCATAAACAGTGATTATAAAGATATTATTCTCTTTAGGGTTACATTAAAATGTTTTACATAACTAGATTCGTCATTTTGAAAGTACAGCAGATTCTGTGAATTTATTACGGAGCGGAATTTACATTTAAAAAATGGATTCAAAAGACTGGAAGAAGTTTAAAAGGAGCAGTGGTTACAGAAGAAAAGTAAAAAAAGTCTACCAAAATATGGCTGTGAGCATTACACCCACCACATCTACTCCTATGATGCTACAAAATGACCAAGCCGATACCAACGAATCAGCCAGTGGTTCCGCAGAGGATTATTTTATAGAAAATGATAATGAAAAAGAAACCAGTGAGGAAGAATATAATTGTGGCGATAGTGATAGTGATATAGACATATTTTTAAATGAAGAGCTGAAGAATATTGATATTCGTAGTGATATTAGAGAATGGGCAGTGAAATTCAACATTTCACATTTAGCTTTAAGTGACTTATTAAAAATATTATATCATGTAATGCCAAACAAAATGCCATTAGATGCGCGTACATTGCTCAAAACAAATAAAGTAGAAATATGCATTACTGAAATTGGTACTGGACATTATTGGCATAATGGATTACTTACACAATTACAAAAAACCTTCAAACCCGCGCGCTAACAGATGTGGGCCTCAGGTTATACTAAATCCTACCTTTTTTTTTTTTTTTTTTTTTTTTTTTTTTTTTTTTTTTTTTAAACATTCATCTCATACATTTTCCGTGCGGAAATCCCCTCGGATACCACCTGTCGGTGGCATGTCGGACACGAACCGACTAAAACCGCACGCCTTCGCCGGGTACTAATAGCCGGGGAACCAGGTATACCCTAGAAAGGAAGGCCCTGGTGCCCCGACATACCTCGGGTCATCTACAGACGAGTAGACGACCCCCGCCCCGTGTGGGAACCCCATGTTCCCTGTGCTCCCTGAAAGCGAGCGCGCTTTGCAACGCGCTCGCCGCCACCCCGGCCTGCTTCTGCTAGGGTGACAGATGGCCTCACCTGTCACCCCCAGGCCTGCGCTTATGGAGGACGGAGGTCGTTCTGCGACCTCCGGCGCCTGAGTCGCCTGCGCTGCCTGGCCCGTGCCCGGGCCTGGCGGGCCGGGAGAGTTCTAAACCTCTCCCGGTCCCGCTCCGCCGTCTCCTTCGCGAGCATAAC